TTGGGCACTTTTTAGGGAGTTTACAGTCCACTAGAAGTTAGAACATAGCCATTCCTCTGTTCCCAATAGACGAGTAATAACTGATGGTGATTCAGGATGGAAAGATACAAAATAACTAATAAGGAAATGAGCAATGGAAGGCGAGCGAATGGTCCCTGGTCAATCCACATAGCTAATTCATTATTTTCTTACGTTTTCCCTAGCTGGCTCTCTCTTCATGTTTTCTTTTTTTTAATATTCCTTAGGGAAGAAAGGACTGTGCTTCCCAACTCACTTTGTCCTCTAAAGAGAGGTAGCCTTGTGTAGTGACATTTAGAGCCAGACTGAGATGCCTGAACGTCAACTCACCACTGATTACCTGTGTGGCTTAGTGTTCATCTGTGCAGTGGGGATGAAACAGACTCTGCCTTTAGGATCGATGTGAAGATTATATGACTTGATTCAGGTACAGGGTGTCCAGTCACGCTATGGTGATGCCACTGCACTCTAGCTTGGCCAACAGAGTGAGACCCTGTCTCAAAGTAAATAAATAAATAAAATGGTTAAGATGATAAATTTAATGTTAATGCATTTTTTGCAATTCTAAAAATTTTGAAAATGCTTTTTAAAATGGCAAATGATAGTTCAATACTTAAGAAAAAAGTTAATGAAAGTTGTTGTTTGCTTTCTGAATGGAAGATCTTAACCACGGCTGGTTGGTGTAGCCTTTTGTGCATGTTTCTACAGTTTATTGGGCTCTAACTGCCTGGTGACATTCACCTGGTGTCAGTAAAGATTCCTAAGTCAAGTTGGGTCCTCTTGTTTGTCCTCTGTCCAGTTTCTCTTGAGGGAAAACATTAGCTACAGGAGAAGGGGTGTTATCAAAACTTGTTTGCTTTGTCTGTTTTTCCTTCTGATTTAGGTTCAGTTGTCGCCTGCTGAAGCAGCGATGAGGGTGTGTCCATGGGGACGACCTTTTGACACAGCAGCCCTTACCCCCTTCACACACCCCCTCGACCCCACAGATCCTGCGTCAGTGGCACTATTTGCAGGACTACCGGCCAAAATCCTGTGCTGCTTGCTGTTCTTTGACCCGTAAACCTGTGCCTGAGCCAGGCGGGTTGAGACAGAGGAGACTGTCCCAGTGATGTCACAGCAGCTGTTTTGTTGCCCTGCAGTTGCTTCCGAGGCTGAAGTCTCAGCTAAGAAAAAGATGAATCCCCCTGTAGAGAGAGACAGGTGAGGGACACGAATAGACAATTCACAAGATGCAAAGAGCTAATAAACATGAAAAATGACCACCCTCCCTAATACAGAAGGGACAGAAATAACACTACCACTTTAATACCATTTCCCCCTATCAATCAATTTGGCAAAGATTTTTTAGAAAATAATTCCCAGGGTTTGCAAACAATTACTGATAGAAGGTAACTAGCCTTCCTTAAAGCGACATGGCAGTGTGTATGAAGAACTGTAAAAGTGCTCCTTCTGGAATAGAATACTCAAGAATGTTCTAGAATAGAGTATGCCATAAACAAATTCAGGGAGATACAGGAATTTAGTGCAAGGTAAAAGTAACATTTCAAATTAATAAGAAGAGAAACTTCCATTTCTGACAATATGGAGGACAGTATAACCTGGAAAATCTTTGGTTACAAAAACATCTAGAAATATTGGATAAAATACAACAACATGCCTGCACCCCAAAGATAAAAAGGGAACACCCCAGGGGCCAAACAATGAGGAAGAATTGAAAATAGAGACATGGATGGGCTGACGCTGCTCTGGCTTAGGAGGGATTAACAATGGAATAATCTAAGGGTCTTGTTTTAATGTCCAGATGGAGACAGGACACCACTCTTACAGGCTGTAGGAGGGGGGTGGGACCTGAGTGTCAGGGATAGCTGCAACCCTTGAAAATCTAGACCTTGAGTGACAGCAATCGGCCACAGTAGCCTTCTGACTTTGAGACAATCCCGTCCTTGCTTGTTCTAACTCATTTAAAGGTCAATATCAAGAACTGTCTTAACCCCCGACAGAGATTCTCTGATTGGCCACACTTGAGTCAGGTTCCTAGACCTTCCTTTAGGCCCATCTGTGCACTTCCTTATAAAATACAGTTTTTTTAAAAAAATTTATTCATTTATTTATTAAATAAAATCCAGTTTTAGCAAAGAACCCTGCTAAGTCATTTTAGCAAGAACCTTCCACTCTTGATGTCTGATCGAGTTCCTCATCCTCCACCATCCTCTAAATGATGTCTGATCATTCTGACCTTCTTCAGCAAGGTCTTCAGGTTAGGTCAGGTCAGCAGAATCCCCCTGACTCTGGATGTTTCTTCTCAGTCATTTTCCATCCACTGACCTGCACCCTGCTCCATGGCTATACATCCCCACTTGCCCATGCTGGATTCGGAGTTGAGCCCAATCTCTTTCCCTCTCTGCGAAATCCCATTGTAGTGGTCCTTCTCCCTAGTGCAGTGGTCCTGAATAAAGTCTGCCTGACTATGATTTAACACGTATCATTGAGTAATTTTTCTTTAACACCTCTGAGTCCCTGTCCACCTGGAGAACCCCTATAGGAACACTTAGTTGGTTCCCTGTGTCATCGTTCAAGCAGGATATCTTGTCCTGACAGGCAGTCTGAACTCCAAGAGTTTACCAAAATAAGACATATTTGTATTGTCTCTTCTTTCTATAGTCTATCATTGATCAATTTGGTAGATCTATCAGTATTTGGAATGTGATTCCACTTCTGGGAAACTGTCCCACAATAACAGGGTACCTATAAAAGTTCCCAATCAATCATAAATGTATAAGGACGTTCAACTCAATATGCTTTATTTGTAATAGAAAAACAACTGGAAGCTGCCCCATGTCCTACAAGAGTAGAATAGTTATGTAGCCATTAAAAAGAATGAAGTTTATCTGTATGTATGAAAATAGAAAAACTGTCCACAAAATATTATGATTTTCTTTAAAAAAACAAGCTATAGAAAAGCCCTGTTCAACAGAAATAGAATGTAAACCACATTATAATTTCAAATTTCCTAGTAGAAATAATTTAAAATATAAAAAGAAATAGATGAAGTTACTTTTATAATGTATTAATATTTTAAATTGATATATCTAAAATATTCTTTAAACATGTAATCATATAAAGTTATTATGAGATATTTTATATTATTTTTTTATACACTAAGTCTTTGAAACCTGATGTGTATTTTACAACAACATACTTCCATTCGGACCAGCCACATTTCAACTACTCGAAAGCCATTTATGACTAGTAGCTACAATATTAGATAGTGCAACTATAGAACAAATATGTAGTATTTATTTTTTATACAGCCCCCAAACCAGCTATATAAGTATTGTATAAACATAGAAAGCATTTGGAAGGGTACGCGAGAAACGCCTAAGGTGGTTATTTCCATGGAATGGTGATTGTGGGGAGGGAAGGTGATCAGGATTTAGTTTATGAACATCTCTATTTGAATTTATTATATGAGGATATATCATACTTTGCTAAAAAAAAAAAGAAAGAATGCTTATTCTTTTCAATACAGTCAGTCAATGTATAGTAATTTATTTTAAGGAAATAATAAAATATGCGAACCAACATTTATGACAAGGATGTCCTTCCTTGGCAGCATTACTTATATAGTAGTTTCTCCTTAGTCACAGTTTCATTTTCTGAGGTTTTAGTCACGTGTGGTCAACCATGGTCTGAAAATATTAAATGGAAAATTCCAGAAGTAAATAATTGATAAGTTTTAAATTGAATGCCATTCTGAGCAGCTTGAGAAAATCTGTCGCCCTGCTCCATGCCACGTAGGACATGAGTCATCCTTTGTCTGGCATATCCACGCTGTAGACGTTACCTGCCATTAGGGTATAGTAATAAACATAGGGTTCGGTACTGTCCACAGTTTCAGGCAGCCACTGGGGGTCTGGGAGTATCCCTCGAGGGTAAGTGGGGGCAACTCTGTTCAACCCTACGGGAGACTTAAATCACTGAAATATAGATGGAGAAGAAAAAACTTATTTAACAACTCTTTGTCTTCCAATAAATAAACAGATAAGGATCTGAGGCCTGGGGCTCACCGAGGCTTCTCTTAACCCTCGAATAGGTGGTTTTTTCCATAGGTGCACAGGAATGTTGGGATTTCTGCTGCGGACTTTGTGCTTTGCTTAGCAAAGTTGTTTTGTGCGGATCCCGTCTGACGTTTTATTCTTCCAATAACTCCATGGCAGGTAAATGAAGAATTCACACACAGTATAAGGATAAAACTGCACAGGTTTCAGCTGCCTTGGAGACTATGTACTTTTAAGATATTTGTTGAATAGAACTTAATTTAGTTTAACTGCCCAATTTGTTCTGGCGGGAGTAAAACTTTGTGGACTAACAAGGAAAGGGGTGCAACATGTAGGAAGTAAAAAAACCAATGTTGTCAAATAAGGGGTAGGGCACGATCCCATCTGTGTTTTGAAAACTCTGTAAAATTATGTATCTATGTCTTATCTATTATCTATTACCTATCTACCTCCATCCATCCATGTGAATGCATAGAAAGAGCCAAGTCATCACCACCGCCTGCCCCTGGGAGTGAGAATGGGCTGTAGGATGCAAGGAAGGACTCTCACTTTTACTTTCCGTATCTCTGTACTGTTAAAATTTTAATGGGTTGTTTTGTAACAAAAAAAGATTTAATACAAATTACCAACTGTCATCAGAACTACCCCCCTGGTAGTCCTCGCAAACATCATATAAAGTGCCCAAAAAGAGTTAACACAGGGAACTCCAGGTGTTTGAAGTGAGGACAAATTGCTGATTTGAGGGTGGTGGGTGGGGTTTAGGGCCCAGAAACAGCAAGGAGCTGGGAGGGGAGGGGAGGGAAGGGGCCAGGGAAGGGCTGGCTGCTGCTCAGTTCTCGCACCTAGCCAATAGCATGAAAGTCTCAGGCCCAACGCCCATTTGTGGAGGCTATTTCAGGAGTCAGCGTTTGCATCTGAGTTCATTGTCACTGTAACTTGTCAAAGAAGGACTAAGTGAGCTTCTAGGTTTGGCTGCTTGGAGGCTGCTTCTCCTTTACTTGGAAGGTAAAGATCTCAAGCCTCAGCTGATCTGGGGGTGGTGACTGGGTGGGATGTTTGCTTTTTTCTTTTTGGTGTATTGACTTCTTTTCAGCCCAGGGCCATAAGATGCTTATGGGATAGGGCTTTACTTTTACTAATGATAATATTAACACTAAATTTCTAACGAGGTGTAGTTGCTCTTCCGGGTTCTCTGCAGAGAACAAGACACAGAATGTTGAAGCATTAGGGAGACTCTTTCTTGGAGAGGGTCTGCATGGAAAGAAGGGAGCACCTATGCTTTGATTGTTTTAACGATTTTCACGTTATTCCTCCTTGGTTTCACTTAGGGCATGGTTAAGCTTTAACAGGGATTACAGTTGCTCATAGCAAATCTCACTTACCATAGATAAGGATTCAACTTAACGCTCTCTACAAACATCGTAGAGTGGGTTCTTGCTTTACTTTTCATCTCAGCAAAAAGTCTTAAAATTCCCCTCATTCATAGTAAAGCTACTTTTACAAGAGAAAGTAGGGAAAAAAAAAGAAAGGAAGAGTGTGGAACGAGATACCCATTGAAGTCTCCTTGATGTTTAGGTCCAAACGCAGGGTAGTGCTCTGTTGCCAACATCACGGAGACCTCCTTCTTTCCCCTGTAGGCTTCGCGAGTGATGGACCCATACGTGATTCAGATGAACGGCAACGGCACCCTCCCCTCAGTTCGGGATGTGCATGGCAACTTCAGCGGGAGAAGCTCCGGGCCCGGAAAAATGAAAGGCAGGAAGGCCAGATGGTGCGTGAGGCCATCAGACATGTCCAACAAAACTTTTAATCCCATCCGTGCCATTGTAGACAACATGAAGGTGAAGCCAAATCCAAACAAAACCATGATTTCTCTGTCCATTGGTGAGTTGGGGACATGAGACTGAAGGGCTGTCATTGTCCCCATCCCACTCCCATCCTCACGGGCCAGTTGGAGAAGATGGGAGTGGAGGGTGAGTCTAGTGCTGGACACGGGAGGGTAACCTCTTGGTGGTTCTTTTTGTTTTTTTCCTCCCACGAAAAGGGGATCCAACTGTGTTTGGAAACCTGCCTACAGACCCTGAAGTTACTCAAGCAATGAAATATGCCCTGGACTCCGGGAAATATAATGGTTATGCCCCAGCCATTGGTAAGTTCCTCCTGAGACTCTATACCTGGTGGCTTTCAAATCTTTAGTGCTCTTATAATAGGACTAAACTTCTAGCAATTCTCCTTACTTTCCTGACGCATAATTCCTAAGAGGCTAAGATTAAATGGCCCTTTGGGTTTTGGGAAAGGAGTCTCAGGAGGCTTAATCATAAGGCATCAAAGTCTAACTTCTTTCCTGGCTTCCTTTGGCATATTAGCACTTCCCCTCGAGGTTCCCAAACATACCTATTTCTCAAATAATGCTTCTATCCTGTCCTTACAAATTCTAATATGAAGGACTGGAGTCTGGCTGGAGCTGCTTGCTTACTGAGTCCTCTAGGTCCTAAATTAATTTATTTACTGCTCTATGTAAATAGCTTCTTTGCTTTATTTCTTCTCTATTTATTTAAGGCCTATCTTCATTATGTCCTGATCACTTTGAAATGTAATTTTATCTGTTTAAGATGAAAGAGGTGAAAAACCTGTAGTCCCAGCTACTTCGGAGGCTAAGGCAGGAGGCTCACTAATGGGCTATCATATTGAAGGATAAAAGGTTGTTTCTGATATTTAGGTTTAATTCTTTTCTTCTATTAAAAATTTCTACTCTAAAGGTCTTGGTAAAATAAGTGATTCTTTGACTTTTGTTTCAGTGTTGCACTTTTTTTTCCCTTGTGTATATAGAAAGATATCTTAATGCAGAATAAAAACCAAGTTTCATGCTAAAATCATATTTTAAAAACACTTCAAAGAGATACCAGGGACATGGTTTTTAGGGTGATTACTTACATTTTATAAAGTTTCATACAATAAAAACCAAAATCACAACCAAATGTTAGGTTATAAAAAATGTTTATAATGATTTTAATATCCAAAGTATTAGAGAACTGATTCAACCTGAAAAACCAAAACCAAGTCTCCATTTCACAAATGTTTAAAGGATCTAAACATTTTTATGCCAAAGAAAATATGTCTAGATAAGAGTTCTTTCTCATTAACAATTAAGGAAGTGCTGATTTACATAATTTCAAGAGATCCACTCATATCTATTAAAAAACATTATGAAATAGTGCCTCTAGCTTTGCTAACTTGTTTTTTTGGACAAAAGTTTTTAAAAATATTATAATGGGCATAAAACTGCCAATACTTCAAGCTTGTAAGCCAACATTTGGAAATACTGTACAGCAAAATAATTTAAAAGAAAAAATCTTTACAAAAATACTTATAGGAATGTTATATAATGTAAAAAACTTAGATCACATGTATCAAATGCACTGATTATAACTTTTCAAAAAATACAGTCCTTAAAAGAGATTTATAAATAAACTAAATCCTTTATTTTATACAGAACAAAACATAATCACAGTAATCAAGACAGTGCAAAGTATTTTATAGTTTGGGGAGCTCTTTCTTGTTACTGTTTATATATTTGTGTTTATATTAAAATTGTAAAATATAGAGTGAATCTCCTTTATCTACAGTGGCTGAGAGCTGAACTACATAGAATGTCCTCTGGGCAGGGGCGGAAGGCAGACTGAAGCCCACGTTGACCCTCTGGGGCACAGCTGTCAGTTGAGGAATGAAAACTCCACCTTCCACTTTCTACTTCTTTCAGGCTACCTCGCCAGTCGTGAGGAGATTGCTTCTTATTACCACTGTCCTGAGGCACCCCTGGAAGCTAAGGTGAGCCTTATCCAAGGTACCCACTCTGAAGCAATTTGGGGCAAACTATATCCCCTTTTTTTGTTTCTATTCCACAAGGAGTAAGAGTTTCAAAGGCGAAAAAGCTGAGGGTAATTCCCTTTTAGCAATTCAAAGACTTCTAATATCGTTGGGGTCACTGATCAGTGATTATATTTAATGTCATTATAGTATGGTAATGACATCACATACAACTTATGTGTTGTCTGTCTGAAGGAGGCTCAAAGAACCCAGAAATCGCCTATATTTGATTGTGTGCAAAGGATCATTTGAGAATAATTCATAAACACCAAACCATTAAATTTTTGAATTTTACCAACAGGTTAGTTTCTTATTTGTAGCTTTTCTTGTTCACCTTAAGGTCGTTCAGACAGAAAGAGGTAACATGGCATATTGGATTGACAGCAGTGCCAAGTTTAAATGATGCCCTTCCCTCTATAGTCTACTATGTGGGGTCAACACTTTCTAACATAAGAGGGGTATTTCAGAGAAGAGACAGGCTTCAAATCTCTGGCCAAAAGTAAATAAATAACCAGGTGAAAAAAGTCCAAGGTCAGTAGTGTCTCTCATGGAAGTTTGCTGAATCATGGCCAATCTGTCCTTTTAAAAGTGATCTGTTTATTAAGAGGCCAATGTTTTTTAACAAGTTAGATATGTACATATATGCACGTATTAATTTCCTTTGGTTTTGGCTTAGTACAATCCCTACTACTTTACTTAGAACTTGTTAAAGTAAGTTCATTATTGTTCCCAACTCATCCATCTGACAAGTTCTTTTCTCCTGTTGCTGTTGGAACCCCTAATGAAATTAACCTTTTATTTTCTTCACAGGATGTCATTCTGACAAGTGGCTGCAGTCAGGCTATTGAACTTTGTTTAGCTGTGTTGGCCAACCCAGGGCAAAACATCCTGGTTCCGAGACCCGGTTTCTCTCTCTATAGGACTTTGGCTGAATCTATGGGAATTGAAGTCAAACTCTACAACTTGTTGGTAAATATCTTTTTAATTTTAGACTCAAGTGCTCAATTACTACCCTGTAAAAATATATGACCGCTACCTCTGGAGAGGAAGGTCTGAAAGTGAGTGGCTGAGGCCAAAGACACATTTTATTATGCATATTGCATTCTCGGGTTAAGTGAGTATTCCCCCTAAATTTTTCAGAATCATTTTAGTCTCACTCTTTCTTCCTCTTTAGCCGGAGAAGTCTTGGGAAATTGATCTGAAACACCTGGAATCTCTGATTGATGAAAAGACAGCTTGTCTCATTGTCAATAATCCATCAAACCCCTGTGGGTCAGTGTTCAGTAAAAGTCATCTTCAGAAGATTCTAGCAGGTAAGTCTGGCAGACTTCAGAGGAGGAGATGGGGACAGAATCCTTTAGCTCTTCCGTGGAATGACAACAACAACAAAAGCCCTTCCCTAAGTTCCAAGCATGTGCTGGAGGTAGAGGGGCTCCACCGGCATCGCTAGTCAATAGTGCGCCACAGGAGTGATAGGACTTGCCTAAAAGAAGGAGTAAAAGAAGAAATACTTGCCTTTTCACCACTTCCATCATGTAGAAGGAGAGGGTTGAATTATCTAGTTAATTAAATGGCAAATTTAGGCTCTGTACCCTGGAAGATTATTGGAAGAATTTATAGTTCTTAAAGAGGAAGACAAAACACACAAACAGGAGATACAAAGCACAAGAACAGGTGAATATTAGGTGATAAGGCAATTCACATGGAAAATAGTTTCAGCATGTTTCTCTTATTTTCAGTGGCTGCAAGGCAGTGTGTCCCCATCTTAGCTGATGAGATCTACAGAGACATGGTGAGTCTTGGTCTGGATATATCACTATGATAAACTCAAACCCGAATTATTTTATGGGATCTTTAGAGGTAGAAACCGGAATAATCAGAAGCAACTCCTTTCAGTGCAGCACATCAGCATCCCTGCAATCTTAACAAATATAAACTCCTTAGCCAGTTTTCCAAAACACTTGCCAAAGCACTCTGGAAGTCCAAAGATTCTTGGAATTCATTTGGTTGAAAAACCTGATTTGACCTGATATAAAGGTATCTGTAGATTTTATATATATCCCATTTATGGATCTATATATTTGTTAAGAGTGTAGGGGAAGTGGCAGAAATGTCAATATTCTGGATTATGGGTACCATCCTAGAGTGCTCTGGGAGTGTTATGTAAAGTACGGTAAATGTGCTACCTGGTCTTTCTAAAGTCCAAACCATTCTGCATTCTGCAACATATCTGGGGCCAGGAATTTCAAATAAGGGATTGGGGGCCCATATTTTATTTTTAAATCTGTAACTTTAATAGTCACTGATTTCACAGAGCCAGCTTTTTGGACTTGTACATATTACTGTGCAGGGGTCAGTTTCCTCCCTGTAGGCTTCCTTTAATCCAGACCAGACACCAGATGAAATGTCTTTGGATAACCCCCTATGAAGCCTCTTAAAATCCCAGTCATGCTTCAGGGTAGGAATGAGCCATTAACCTGAGGCCCTGTCTCTAGTGATATAAGGAAAATATCGGGAGGCGTGGGATCTGGGATTCCAGAGGGAAGTAAACAAGAAGGCAACCAGCACCTCTTCTCCTTAGGTGTTTTCAGATTGCAAATACGAACCACTGGCCAACCTCAGCAACAATGTCCCGATCCTGTCCTGTGGAGGGCTGGCCAAGCGCTGGCTGGTTCCAGGCTGGAGGTTAGGCTGGATTCTCATCCATGACCGAAGAGACATTTTTGGCAATGAGGTGAGAATAACGTGGCAAAATAGTATGTGTAATTTAGGGTATGCATTTACTTTGTGAGTGACAAGGTAGTCCCCCCCTCCTCTTTTTTCTTCTTGGCAGTCACACAGCAGGTGTGTGGCAGAGCTAGGCTACAAACCCAGGTGGTCTAAGAAGGCCACTAGGCACCATTACTGCCCAAGATTAAAAATCTGATAGAAAGAAAGGTCAGAACAAGAATTCCCCACATAGGGGCGCTTAAGAAAAACTAAATATTTCTTGGGGGAATTTTAGATCCGAGATGGGCTGGTGAAGCTGAGTCAGCGGATACTGGGACCCTGTACCATTGTCCAGGGAGCTCTGAAAAGCATCCTGCGTCGCACCCCTCAAGAGTTCTACCACAACACTCTAAGCTTCCTCAAGGTAAGGGCAGCACATGTGTGGTCTTCCACTTGGGGAGGTTGGGAGTTGGAGAATACCACCAGTGGAATTAGGACTAATTGGTTCTAATTTCTGGAGCACTGTTCCAATATGGGGCTTCCATATCAGGAGGTATCATCAGCATAACTACCCACCCATGCATTTCTCTCACTCCTGGCAAATCACTCTGTTCCTGGCCAAAAACTTCAAGTGATGGAGCTTTTTCTTGTTGACTCCTTATGCCAGAAGATCAAACCTAGGTTCCTGGCCTTCAACCTATTTTTTACGACTTGGTATTTCTTTTTTTTTCGGTCTTTTTTTAAATAAGAGAAAAGTCATCAAATTTATTTTAACATGTATACATGGGAACCCTCAGAAAATGAAGATTCCGGTATTTCTTTTACTTAAAGTTTGATCTTTGATTTCTCTCTGCCTCCTCTTGTAGTCCAGTGCTGATCTGTGCTATAGGGCACTGGCTGCCATCCCTGGACTCCAGCCAGTTCGCCCTTTTGGGGCCATGTACCTCATGGTAAGTATGTAGGTGGCAGGCACTAGATCTATGCATGTTATAGAGCAAAGGGAAGCCAGTCAGCAGGACTGCCACCATTCACAAAGACAACCAGCTAGGATGTTGAGCCAGGTCAGGAACTGTCCTATTCTGAATTTTCCCACTGATGTAATTTAACCTTGGTGCTCATAAAACTCTTAAAATGACTTAATTCTTCAGTACAGAGAATCATTTAATATGTAGATAGAGGAAATATATAAGACATAAATAAGAGGCTTTCCATACCATTGTAGTTCTCAACTGGGAGTGACACTATTTCCCTAGGGAATTTTGTTTGTTTTCAGAATGACTTGGGGGTGCTATTGCCATTTTGCGGGCCAGGAAAACTAAGTATCCTGCAATGGGGCAGGTGGGTGGGGGGCGGACAGTCCCATGCAATAAAAAGATTGCCTGGCCCTACTGCTAATAGTGTCTCTTTTGTGAAACACTGGCATTCTATTTCCAGCTTTCATTTCTTGGCATCCAGGAAGGAATTCTTCAATAAACTAAAATATTAATATAAATATATCCTCTCTTCCCTGAGAAAAATTCCATGAGTTCATAAGTGCTAGAGCACTGTTATTGGTGGTAGAGTTCCAAGGTATCTTTTAAAGTAGACTGTATCTTAATTTTTAGCACAGGAAATTGGTTTGTTTCCTTCTGATCAGTTTGCCTCTCCCTCCTATTATTGGTATAGGTTGGAATTGAGATGGAACACTTCCCAGAATTTGAGAGTGATGTGGAGTTCACGGAGCGGTTAGTTGCTGAGCAATCCGTCCACTGCCTCCCATCCACAGTGAGTGCTCGTGTCTCTCTCAGGACAGTCTCAACAGTTTCTATAGCCCTGGGAGCTCTCTCCGACCCGGTTTTTAGCTTGACTTTCTCTCCTCCAACAAAGTGTATTCTCATTTGATAAGATTCAAACTGGTATGTCTCATGGCCTCTATTTAAAATTTGTTTCTCTCTCATCATTATCCCATGCATACTGGGAAGAAAAGTTGCAAACAAACATACTACATGGGAGGAAATCAAGCTTGTCCCACAAGTCCCTTTTAAGATGAGTTAACTCAGTTATTAACTTAGCACCACAGTGATGGGGAATGAACGAACTGATGGCCCTGACAAAATGGCATCATTGCTTCTTGCAGATTAGAGCCCTGGCCATTTTAGGGTGGTCTAGTACCAGATTCAATTGCTCTGAAAATAATAGGCTCTTATTTTTGCAGTGCTTCGAGTACACGAATTTTTTCCGAGTGGTAATCACAGTCCCCGAGGTGATGATGTTGGAGGCTTGCAGCCGGATCCAGGCGTTCTGTGAGCAGCATTACCATTGTGCTGAAGGGAGCCAGGAGGAGTGTGATAAATAGGCCCTCATCCATTCTCCTGAGGATGTGGCCCACCTGGGGAGGGCTGGACTGGGCCTTGCTGCTCCTCAGGGAGTCAGGTGGCCCTACCAGGAGAGGGGCCTCAACAGCACCGTGTCAAGTGTTCAGGATTGCTCCTGCTTTTCCCGTTACGTCCACATACATACACGCTCAACCCAAGATTCTCCTCTCCCTCTGCTCTACTGGAGTGACTCACTAATTCATTAATCTGCCCCCCTCTCATGTGTTTTCCTCCTTTTTTCCTGAGAGTACCAGCTGAACCAACTTTACCAGAAAGCGGTTGAGACAAGACAAGTAAGAGCTCAGAATGAGAGAAGCCAAAGATTGAGAGAACTTGCACCCTCAACCATTTCCTCATACACTAAGTAAGAACACACTCTCTCCAGTCAGCTCTGAAGCCCAACTCTGTTACTGCCTCACTTCAGGTATACCTCACTTTATGCAATGGAATTATAACTGGAAAGAAGTTGGGGACACACGTATTTGGTTAATTATATTCTAAACGTACTAGGCAAAGTTGCTATTTGAAGGATCCCTAACAGAAACCTTTTTGTTGATTTTTTTGTAAAGAATTATTTTGTGATGCAAATAAATGTCCTTTAATTGATCAAATTCCTAAATTTAGATTTGTGTGTATCAGGCTTCCTTAAAGTGAGGGCATGTCTGTATGAGAAAAAGGATAATCAGAGAATCTTCCAGAAAGACTGCTGTGTAAGGGCCAGAAATATCCTCACTGTTATAGAATGATTACTTTTGCTGTAATGTTAATATTGATTTATTAATATGTTATATTATCTTTTCATATGTTTTCTAAGAAACATTTATATTGAAAAGGTCCTTTATTTTGCCAAGGGCATAAATTATTGTTTTTCTTCTTTTTTTTTTTTAAATAAATTTTACCAAGTATGCTCTTCTGTGATGTGTTTTTTTCTCCTCTGCAGGGGAATTTCTATCCCCACGTGCTGCTTAGTGTAATTGCTGTATTACCCACTTGGTTTCATTTATTTCTTTGTAAATGTTCTGACATTTGGAGTTACTTAAGAACCACAATTCCTAAAATATTTTATTTGGGAGCTCAACTTCTGACTTCCTACTTACAAACAAGGCAAACTCAGAGGCAACAAATTACCACCTCTGGTCTTTGTCTTTACACTTTCAACTTTTTTGGATCCCCAACCTCTAGTTCCAAATTCCTACCCTTGCCTACATCCACTACCACTTACTAGGGAACAAAGTTGAACTGGTTCAGCTTGGCCCAGCAAATGAGGGGTATCCCAGATCTTCTCTCAGCATGAGCTTTCTGTCTGTCTGCGAATCCTCCCAGGCACAGCTGCCTGTTTAACTTTTTCCTCACCACCTCCCTTAGAGGAGGGAGCCTGAGTTATCTCTGCAAGGTTGGGGACAGGAATATACCGTAATCAGTCCGGAGATTCCTCACCAAGGGAAGTTCTCCTTATTGAGAAGAGGAACTTTAGGTCTCAACCCTGTGAATCACACCCAAATAATTTCCTTTACAAAAATAAACATCAAATGTTCCCTTCCGATCTAAGTTGGAGTTCAGTGAGCTCACGCTAAAATTTACCTTTTAATTTTCCTCAGCAAATCCAAAATGAATATACAGTGATTGAGATAAAGATTTCAGTTTCCTGTATGTTACCACTGCTGATAATTTCCCCCAATTGCCTAACTCCTCTTTTCCTTTCCTTCCATCCAAACCCCCAAAGATTTCTGTCCAGAAATAAACAGGAATACATGGTGGTTTAAGCTAAGACGTTTTAGCTTCACACATTACAGAATTCTACTCAGACCTCTTAAGTTTCCCAATTCCCTTGGTATCTACATTTTGATAAATGAGCCAAATGAACATTCAAACTTTTAAAAAATAATACACGTGCACTGGACAAATTTCAAACGACAGAAGCAACCATCACCCTCCATGCTCATCCCTGCCCTTCAGCACCCACTTTCTTCTCCCCTGAGGGAATCAGTTATCAGTTGCTGGTTCGTACTTCAAGATTATTCTGTGCACATGCAAGCGTCTGTTTCTGAACTTTTCCTTTTTTCAAATCAACTACCACTAAACTTTACAATTCTGCGCCCTATGGAATTCACAGAAGGCATAATATTTCTGAGGTGTCCATCACGTCCCAGGTGTCTCCAGATAAAAAGGAACCCCCGGCCGGGGACCGATTCCAAACAAACTTAAAATTCCTGAGAGAGAGACAACTGCTAACTGCTTTGCGGATGGTGTCTGAGCGTCTTGAGATAACAAAAAGAACACGTAAAAAGGTCGGAGGCGAGGGCTCAAAGCTGCGAATCCACCAGTCTTTCTATGTCGGAGCACCGCCTACGGGGTAACTGGCGAGTATCGCAGACGTGATGTGATGCCATAGAGCGTCCGACTGCAGCCCGCAGCATCCATCAGCTCCCCTACCCCGGGCGACGCACAGATGCGCGGACGCGGATGAGCCGTGGGCTGCGCTGCTCAGGGCGCATGCGTATGCGCGGGCTGCGCATGCGCGGACGCGGGGTTTCAGGCGCCGAATCTGAAGAGAGGGCGAGAGACTGTCCATCTCAGTGGCTCCAGCTTTTTCTTGAGGAATTCCATTTTGTTTCTTCCCTCAGCCTCATCTCCCAGACTCGCTCCCTGTTTCCAGTTTCTCTTCCTCCTTTGGCCCCAATTTGGGCCGTATCTAGTGGAAGTCTCCCGGGAAGTTGACGATCATCCCTGGGCATTGGAAACACCTGTTAATCCTTTCCCAGCTCTAGGCCAGTCCCGGCAAGTCCGATGAGTTGTGAAGCAGAGCAGAAAATCCCTTTAGCTGGTGTCAGTTTCCAATAGTATGCCTGCCCCTGGAACTTTTCTCCAGAGAATCGTGTCCCTCACGGTCCCGAGTGCCTGCCGTTAGGATCTCTACTCAGCCAAAAAAATGAACCTACCCCTCCCTACGCGCTTGTCAAAGGTAAAGCCAGACACTAAAATGGTAAGGACAGATTTTAATCCGTAATATACTACTGGGGTAGGGAAGAGGTCAGCACAAACTGCACACGACTTTGATTTGTACAGAGGTGACTCAGCCTTTTAGAGGGAGAATGAGGGAATAGGGAGACGGGTGAGGGGACTGCTCACTAGAGTCAGGGAAGTGAAAATTTACAAAAAGTGGGAAGAGGGGTTGGTTCATGTGAAACCTGTCAGGATTTGTTAAGTGGTGCTTGTGGAAGTTAGGCTTCTACCCTAACTTTAATGATGTCCATGCTACCCTAAGCAATCTACGGATTCAACACAATCCCTATCAAAATTGCAATGGCATTTTTTACAAAATAGAAAAAAATCACCCTGAAATTCATATGAAATCTCAAGGGACCCTGATCAGTCAAAATAATTTTGAAAAGGAAGAATAAAGTTGAAGGTGCCACACTTTCTGATTTCAAAAGACATTACAAAGCCACAGTAAACAGAACAGTGTGGTACTGGCATAAAGACAGACAAATGGACCAATGGACTAGAATAGCCCAGAAGTAAACCCTCATACATACAAATGATCTTTGACAAGGGTACCAAGACCGTTCAGTGGGAAAAGGACAAAGTCTTCAACAAACGGTTTTTGGAAAAGTGAGATATCCACATGCAAAAGAATGAAGCTGGACCCTTATTTTACACGATATAAAAAATTAACTCAAAATAGACTAAAGACTTAAACATAAGACCCCAAACCATAAAACTCCTAGAAGAACACATGGGAGAAAAGCATGATAGATTTAGCAGTGGTTTCTTGGATATGATACTAAAAGCACAGGCAACAAAAGCAAAAATAGACAAATGGGACTACATTAAACTTAAAAACTTTTGTGCATCAAAGGATACAATCAACAAAATGAAAATACAACCTATGGAATGGGAGAAAATATTTGCAAATATACATCTGATAAGGGATTAACATCTAGAATATATAAAGAACTTCTGCCCCCTCCTCCTCCCTCTCCCTTCAGTTATATAGTATTCTGTAGTATGGTTATACCATAATTTTTGCCCATAAATTTCGCCCATCACTAAAGGATTGGTTAATAGATAATTGCTTAATGAATAAATTATGGTATACTTTATTTTGTAGCTTTGGAGAACACCAGGACAGAAGCCCAAGGGCAGAGCAGCTTGCCCAAGAAGCAGTGGCAGCAGCTGTGGAGGCTGCCCAGCAGAGACCAGCCTGGAGGGAGAGTGAGAGCACCTGCCAGGTGAGATCATGAGCCATCCTCCAACACTAGTGGGGGTGGCACTGCTGCTGGGGGAAATGCAGTGCTAGACACAGTGAGAATGACACTAGACTCTCCCCGAGTTTACCACTTCTCCCTCTGTCTCCTCACTCAACCCCTCCACTGCTTGTTTCTAGTGTTTCTGCATCAACTGCTGCCTTCTTTTTAAGAATCATTGAGTCCCAAAAGTTCCCATCTGTGAAATGTCTCCTTTTCTGATGCCATCTTAATCATTCTTCAGTAACCATGAGTCGATGACTACCAAATGTGCATCTCTAATCTAGACCTCTCTTCATTTTTTTTTTTTTTTGAGACGGGGTCTTGCTGTGTCACCCAGGTAGTGGCATGATCATAGCTTACTATAACCTCAAACTCCTGGACTCAAGCAATCCTCCTGCCTCAGTCTCTCGAGTAGCTAGGACTATAGGCATGCACCACCATGGCTGGCCAATTTTTCTATTTTTGTAGAGACAGAGTCTTACTATGTTGCTCAGTCTTGAACTCATGGGCTCAAGCAATCCTCCCACCGTGGCCTCCCAAAGTGCTAGGATTACAGGCATGAGCCACTGCACCCGGCCTCGACCTCTCTTTTGAACTTCAGACTTGTGCAACCAACTACATTCTCCCATCTTCATTTGGAGGTCTCAAAAGTACCACCAATTCATCATTTCCAAGATCTCACTCCTACCTGCCTAAATCTGGTGTTCTTGCATTGTGTGTTCCTTGTCTCAGGAAATGGCCTCTTCATCTAATTGTACAAGCTAGAAACCTAAGAGGCGTCTTTAACACCTCCTTCTCCTGCATTCCACCATATCGAATCCTCCCAAATATCCCTTGGATCTGGCCCTGCAGACTCTAATCCAGGTTACCACTGGCTACCACAATTAACTGGTCTAACCACATCCATTCTATCCACCCACAATGGAGCCATCTTCTCAGCATTGTAACCAAAGTGATTTTTTTTTAAAACCTCAAGTCTGATTTTGGGACCCTCTTTGACCGTCTAGTAACTTCTCATTGCTTTTTATATGGAATGAAGTCCCTAGAATGATCTGCAAATTCTTACATGATCAGGCCCCGCCCGCTTTCTTCCATTCTCGTCTTGCGCCACGCATCTGCCAGCTCTTGGGGCTTTCCTACTGTAAAGCTGTGCTGCCTCCTGCCTTTGCTGACACTCTTCCCTCTGCCTGTATCATTTACTCCTATTCATTCTTCAAAACACAACTCAGGGAAGTCTTCTGCTGACCTTTTGCTTTGGTCTACTTCCTTTTCTTCATTGGTTTTTATCTTACTTTGTTATTGTACATATTCCCTCGAGTCGTTCCAGCATTCGGTTAATGGCTGTCTCCTTCACTA